GAGAGAGAGAGAGAGAGAGAGAGAGAGAGAGAGAGAGAGAGAGAAGGTTGGGAAAGTGAGGCAGGGGGCTGAGGGTGAGTGTTCATGCTGTTGGGCAGAGGACTGGCTTGAGGGCCAGACTTCACCCTGTCAACACTACTGCTCGGAGAGCTGAGGCCCTGGGGACAGACTCTAGGGCAGAGCTGAGACTAGAACCCTGGTGCCTTCTGTCCCAGTGTATGAATGCTGGCCAGATGGGCTTCCCAGGGAACCGATTCCTTTACGACTTGAGGTTCTTTGCTGAGTGAGGAAAGAGCATCGCAGGGTAAGTGTGCGCAGGAGGTGTGTGTCTGGGCAAGGATGAGGCATGAGTGAAACCACAGATACAGCTGGGCAATGAGCTGGGCCAGCAGAACTGTGCCTCCACAGCAGACGCCCTTTTCACCTCCGTCAGCCTCCTGGATCCGAGGCAGGGAGCCTCTGGTGGCTCCCAGGCTTAAGTTCTCTGCTCCCCACCAGGCCTGGGAGGTGTCACAAGCCCACATACTTTCTGGACTCTCCACCCAGCTTACCTGTGAGTCCAAAGCTACACAGCTTTAACAAACCAAAAGATAAGTGTCCATGTTGAGATTTCAGGCCCCAAGACCTCTTCCTGTAAGTGACCACCACATTTCAACTGCAGCAGAACTGGCCCCCAGGAGGACTCAAGACACTCCCTCTGCCCAAACACCGTAGTGCCCCCAGCCTGGTGTGTAGGCTGCCTGGCTCTCCTCTCCTGCCCTCCCCTGGACCTGGCGCTCTCTTTGGCAGCCCTTACCTGTGTCTGTATCTACTGGGATTTCTCTCTCTTCAGGGTGACGTTGTTCCCACACGCAAGGCTCTTCCCTAGGCTCCACCGGGGCTGGAGCATCTGGCTTGGGCACGGGGCCATCTGTGTCTGGAAGTGAGAGGGAAGGGAAGGAAGTTGGCCAGTGACCCCAGATCCAAGATGACAGGGGAGCTGTCTGCCAGCCATCCCTCCACCTGAGCACCCCTCTGCGTGGCAGCAGTCACATAGCAAGGTAGGTAACCTCTTAGGAGGAACCTTGAAGACAAGCAGATTCCCAGACCTCTAGTGTAGAAAGAGAAAGCTGACGTCACATGAACTTGGGCTTATCCCAGCTGTTGGGATGGAGTGTGTAGTGAGGTGCAGATGTGAGATTTTCCTGTCTTCTAAAATAGTAGTAGTGCACAGAGAATTTAAGGTGAGAGCCCTGTGGCCAGGCGTTTACTTTCACCCTGTTATAAACTGTCTTTCCATTAGGCTGACACACCCCCTCCAGAGACGGCTCACCGGTGGAGAGGGGAGGTGTCCTTACCCAGGGACATCAGAGTTTTGTAGTTCTCCTTAACCAGGTTGTTGTAGAGCTCCTTCTGCCACTCATCCAGGTTCTTCCACTCGTCCTCAGAGAAGTAAACCGCAATGTCGACAAAAGTCACAGGGACCTGGGACAATAAGGGTTTCAGCTTCGTGCCTGCTGCCCACCTGACTGGCTCCGCTTCTCCTGCGCAGTAAAGGAGCCAATCCGCCCCAGAGCCGGGCCTGCACTCTGTGCGTCCCAACCTCTGGATCCCAGCCCACGGCAGCCCACTTCGGAATTCTATCCCCTGGACCTTCTTGTGCTTCCAACAGCCTTGATGGTCAACTTTGCCCACCCACTTTTTTAAAAAGTATTTAGCGATGTCCTTTGTTATTTCACTTCTAGGTCAACTGGATTCCTAAAGGCAAAGCTGAAGTCAATGAGCCTCTCCTGGTGGATGGGATGACAGAGGTGTGGGAGGGTCTCAGAATGGGGATCGGTGACCCAAGTACCATAAAGCTCTGTGATGAAACCTGAATTTCAGGTCAGGTTACCCCTGAGGACACAGTTACATTTCTGTCACTAAAACTTGTACAATCCAAAGCCATGTATGTGTGAAAGCTCCAGGTCTTGGTGTGTCGTGCATGAGGAAGTGCCAGTGTGGCCTGTCATCACTCATGTCAGTCACTTGCCAATTGAAGTGTTCTGATCTGTCACATAAAGCCGGGGTTTCAGTTTGACCAGGAACCTCGTGTGCACTCATCTCAGCCTTCACCAGCTCGACCTCACCTTGGACCAAATCGTTCAAGTTGGTTTCATTTCTGTGATTTGAATCAGTGGATTTCCCTCTCTGACTGTGCGGGTCTCCCACTTACCACTTTCACATCTCTGCTGAACCAGCCGCTGCTCTCACTCTGAAATCCAGCCCCCCAATTCTCCTCCATTCCCTAGTCCTCATCCATCAGTCTTTATATCTGCAATTACAGGGCTAAAGCTGACCTGTATGGCACCTTGGTGCAAATGAGAAGGAGACGGCAGAGTCAGGTGCACAGCCTCGTGAGGGGGCGGCACCTACATGCCAATTAGAAATGTCAGCCTTTGAGCCAGGTGCACATAATTCCTGCAAAGGTGATCTACACAGCTGTGCAGAGTGGCACTGTCCCTACCAACAGCTCACCATCCGTCTTTAAAAATCAGGCTTAGAAAATGGAGGAACACTGATGGGGCAAAGGGGAGGGAGGGGTGGGGAATTTGCAGAGGGCTAGGAAAGATGGTGGAATGAGATGGACATCATTACTTGAGGTAGGTATGACTGCAAATATGGTGGGAAGCTATATCGTATACAGCCATAGAAGTGTCAAGTTGGGCTGCAATTGTGTACAATGAATCAAAATGCATTCTGCTGTCACAGATACCTAATTAAAATTTTAAAAAATCAGGCTTAGAACTTTTAACTAGAGCTAGCACAGACATGGCCCCTTTTCTTCATTTTAAGTCCCTGTTCCTAGATAAAACTCATGAAATTCTGAAGAGAACATCTACCATGAATTCACATCATGTCTCAGGCTGCCCAGGAGCCTTTGGTGACCTCTGGTTAACATCCTGCTCTGTCCCTGCGGAGGCTGGTTTCAAACTTTCCACTGCTCCAGAGCTTTCTTCTCTGACCGTTCTGCACCTGCCTCTGTCTTTGTCCTCAGGTAGAGACTGGCAAGCTGCTTCCTTGCCCTTTCCTTCTTGCCAAAGCAAACCTGCCGATAGGTGCCCTTTACTTCTCTAACTTCTGCCCTTTCCTCTTTTGCATGTTCAGCTCCTCCTCTCTCCCACCGCCTTTCTCTTTTGGGTCATCCCAGGCTGAGAAAACCTTCACTCAAAGCTGCTACCTCTGGTTAATCTACTCTCAATCTTCACTTGACACATTCCAAGGGACATACTCTGCTTGTGTCCTCTATTCTCTGAAACCACAGCCTGGAAGGTCCTGGGCCACCAGCRGCTGTAACCTTTCAGACTTCTTTGAAAGGTCAGACCATCTTTCTAGAATTTTTGCCTGCTTGGTTCCCATTACTGTGCTGCCTGCTGTCCAAATGGCTCATGCCTTCTTTACTGTTTCCTCCTCTTCTTCCAGGACAAGGCTCTGTCCCGACTCCTCCCTGCGTCTCCACTTTTCCACTGGCTTTCTAGGCAGCACCATTTAATTGTCTTTAAGTATCTCAAACTGAAGGTACCCAAAGCCTATCTTTCCAACACACCAGCTCCTCTGCCTCACTTTACCATTTTTTTTTGAAAATCAATATTCAGAATTCCATTCTCATGTGTAGGAACGGGCATCACTTTTTAATGACTTTATTGTGACAGGATATAACAGAAGTCTAGGCCTGGTTTGAGACTGCCAGCAGCCTCTGATCCACCTGGACAGGAGAGACTACCCAGAATGAGCTAGGAACCAACCAACAGACTCAATAGAACCTGACAGGCCCAAAGAGATTTGACAGCATCCCTCCTAAATCCAGCAGATAAAGAAAACGCACCTTGCACACCAGGAACACATAATGAACCATAACTGTGGCCAGCAATGTGCATTAACATACTCATGGTGCTTTACAGTTGTGGTGGTTTTCAAATGTCATGAAATTTTGATAGTCCCTTCAAAAGGTGGAGTTGAATTCTTCTCCTGAGTATAGGCAGGACTTGGTCACTCACTTCTAACAAATATATAAAGAAGTAATAGTACACAACTTCTAAAACTGGTCATAAAAGACACTGCAGTTCCATCCTGGTCTCTCTCTCTTGGATCCCTCATGAGAGGGGGCATGGGTGTGGACACATTGTGAGGATGCTCAAGTAGTCCTAGTGGAGTCCACATGGTAAGGGACCTGCCAACAGCCAGGTGAGTGAGCTGTCTAGGAAGTAGACCTGCCAGCCACAGTCAAGCCTTCAGATAATCACACCCTCAGCCAAAAGCCAGAAGCTCCCAACTAAGCTACTTCTGAATTCCTGACCCACGGAAACTGCAAGATGATAATTATTTTTTAGACTGCTACATTTATTACACAGCAATAGGTAACTAACAAGGACCCACAAAATGTTTTTCCATAAACAAAATCAATGCCTCCTCATAATTCTATGAAGCCAGCACAGTAGCATCTCCATGCTACAGATGGTTAACACTGGGGCTCACAGCGATTAGCTACAAGTTTACTTAATTGCTCAGACTTCATTTCTTTAAAGAGGAATGGAGGAGGCTCAGAGATCATGAAAACACATGCTTAACGCATCGTAGAAAACCAGAAGTGGACAGTCAAGACTCAACCAAGTCCCCTGATTCCACATCCCATAACCACTCCCTCATCATGCAGGGGCACACCACAGTTGAGACTCTGAGGCTTCATCCAACACAGAGAACACCTAACAGTGCTACATGAGGACAGAATGCTGAGTTAAAACACGTGGTACAGACAGGCACCAAGGGCAGGGTGTGAGTAGATGCTGATTGTGATAGGCAAGCAACATCTGCAAAATCCCACTCAATGCTGTGCAGGGAACAAAGCCCCTGTGACAATCCAGTATGTGAAGCCTTGACAAATAAATTCAAGGGGCAGCTCTGGCAAAGTTGATGGGTTGGGCTCCTTGCCACCMGCGGAGACATGTGAGACCTAGTCCCTTCCACGGAGCTGCTAGCTGTCCAGCTGGAGCGCCACCACCTTGGGCATACCGACTCTGAGCCAGGTGCCGTGACAAACACTTGAACCCAACAGAACTGACATTCTTGTCAGGGAAAGCCAACCAAGAAGCCAAAAAAAGGTGTAAATATTAAAGAGGCTGATGGCATAAGTGCTCAGAGGAAGACCAAAGCAGGGACAGGCAACGGCATGCAGGAGGGACGTGGTTCTTCTCATAGGGTGGCTACAGAAGGGTCCACGATAAAGTGATGGCTGAGCAGACCCCTGAAGGAAGCCGGGAGGTTGGGGAGAAGCTATGCAGATGACCAGGAAGTGTCCAGGGAAGGAACTTCTCAGTGGAATGTCCCTGAACTGGGAGCCTGTATGGGAAGCTGGAGGACAGTCAGAGGCCAGGGTGTAACGGGGAGTGTGGTGGGGAACATGCTTTTATTCTGAGTAAGATGGGAAGCCATTTGGAAAGTTTAGGCATCTGTGACCAGTTTATATGTTAAAGGAATCACTCTAGCTGCTCTGTTGAGAGTAGACGGAATGGGAGAGGGGCAAGGGTGGAGACCAAGAGACCAGGCAGGAGCTGCAGCAATATCAAGATGAGGTGAGGTGTGGTCACACTGTACATTATACTAGACGGTGAGAGAAAGAGAGGAGACAAGAAGCACTCCAAGGCTTTGGACTGAGTGACTGAATAGGATGGAACTGTCATCAGTAGAGACAAGGATGACTTTGAGCAGAACAGGCTTCAAGCAGAATACCCAGAGTTAATTTTGGTTATATTAAGTCTAAGATATTTATCTCCAAATGGAGGCTAAATTTACAGGTGGGAACATGAGTCTGGCATTCAGGAAGGAATGAATTCAAGACAGGGCAGAGAGTAGAAGGGACAGAATATATTTGGGCGTTGACAATACACACATTGCATTTAAAACCATAGGACTGGAGGAAGTCATGAGGAAGTGACTGTAAATAAGAGCAAAAGGCTGAGATGAGCCCAAGACCGCTACAAACTGTAAGATGTTGGGAAAAGGAGGTGAACCCAGGAGAGCAGGCTGAGAAGGASCAGCTACTGGGTAGAGAAGGAGTCAAGAGCAGCATCCTGGGAGCAGATCAAAGGCGCGCCAAGGACAGAGTGGCCACCTGCACACAACGCTGCTGGTGGGTCAGGAGGATGCAGACTGAGACCTGATCAGTGGCTTTAACACCGTGGACCTTATTAGGGCCTGGGTGAGACCCATACGACAGGAGGGAGGGAACCCAAGCCGGATCAGAGTGGGTTCCAGAGAGAATTATCCAATTACCAGTTTACTGGAACACTAAGAATAGAGGAACATGCTCAGTAGGACCAGGAGGGATGCCATCAGCAGAAGCCAGGCAGTGAGACACTAGACAGGACTGATAGCCCAGTTCCTCTCACAGATGAAGTGCAAGGAAAAACAGAGATGAAGGAGAAATCTACAGATGAAAAAAGACAGACATGCTAATCACAATATGTGGACCTTATTTAAATTCTTATTTTTAAAAAAAATAGAAAAAAGAAAGGAAGGAATGATTAATTGAAAATCTAGACACCAACAGGACACTGGAGTGGGGTGAGGTTTCTCCTGTGGCAGCAGTGCCAACATGGAGTTTATTTATTTTTATTAATGCATTTTGATTTTATGGATAGTGGGCTTCCTTGTGTGTTTACTTATTTATCTATTGGTACTAAGGATTGAAGGCAGGGGAACTTTCCACTGAGCCACATCCCCAGCCCTATCTATCTATCTATCTATCTATCTATCTATCTATCTATTTATTTTAAATTTTGAGGCAGGGTCTCTCCCTACGTTGCACAGGGCCTTGCTATTTGCTAAGGCTGGTCTCAAATTTTTGATCCTGCTGACTTGGTCTCCTGAGTTGCGGGGATTACAGGTGAGTGCCACTGCACCTGGCCAGTATATTTATTTTTAAAGAGTTATTACCTTTTAGAATTAATACTGATATATTTATGAACAAAGTGATTGACATCTGGCATTTGCTTCAAAATTAAAAGAGTGAGGTTCCATTTGTGTACAATGTGTCAAGATGCATTCCACTACCATATGTGAYTGATTGGAACAAATTAAAAAGAAATAAAATAAAATAGAAGAGAGACCAGTAGAATAGAAAAAGGGGAACAAGGGGAGGGGAGGGAGGAGAGGAAAAGGAGAGGGACTGGAGAAGGAAATTGATCAAATTATACTGTCTTCTGGTGAACAAATTTTTAAAAAGAAAGAAAGAAAAAAGGCAGAGTCATATAAATCCTATTTGGGATAACATAAGACAGTAAATAAATTTTATTTCTCTGAAAAAAATAAAAGGAGTGAGGAAGTGGGTAGGCATTCAGAAGAAACAGGATCAGTCAGGCTTGATGAGCACTGAAGCCCACGGTAGGTGCACAGGGCTTCCATCATGCTATTCTATCTGCTTTAGTATGTGTTTGAATATTCTATAATAGAAATCTGGGGAGAAGAAAATGGGGGTGAGAGAACAGGAGATAACAAGTGTACACTTCTAAAAGACTCTTTTAAAGGATTCTGCTCTCCAGGAGAACAGAAAATGAGGTGCTAAGTGGAGGGAGGTACAGGGCGGGGGAGGTTGAGTTCTTGAGACAGGTGGGTCGTGGAGTGTTGGAGTGCCAGCACCAGGAAAGAGAAGAGCGCTGAGAGGCAGGTGGCACAGATGCTAGGGTAGCCTCCTAGAAGAGGGGATGTGGACGGACACCAAGCCTCAGTGGCAATGACCAGGGCACGGGGGGCAACAGGTGCGGGAATGTGATGCCACACAAGGAAGCCTCCTCTGAGTGTCTCCAGACTCTCAGAGAAATCGAAATCAGGGCATCAATGAGAGCAGCGCTGACCAGCCAGAAGAAAGCAGAAATGATTCGGCCAAAAAGGGCCCACCTGAGTTTAGTGATCCAGATTTAAAAGCCAGTCCATTCACTGTGGTTTTGGGTCTGTCCCCAGCCATGGTTTGGACAAGCAGATACAAAGGTAACCAATGACAAATTGTCACTGGTCAGCTCTCAAGTGGAAAAACCAAACAGTGAAGGTCTTTGCAGCCAGCCAGGAACTCAGGGAGGGCATGGGGTAATGAGACCTGGCTCCAAGGCAAGCGCACGCGGAAGAACCTGCTGCACAGGGCTGCGGGGAGGACGTTCAAGAGGAGGCTAAGGAGAGAGAGGCTTCACCACGACACTGAATGAGACGGCCAGGGAAGCCTGTGAAGCCTGTAGCTGGAATCAGGGGCTTCGTTCCCTTGCGCAGTTGCTCACCTCCAGCCCTGCCGCTGACCYCCCACTTACCTTGGGTGCCTCCCCCTTGCTGCCGGGGGGCAGCCKCAGGACCCAGAAATTCCTGTTGCGCAGCAGGTTCTCCAGGTTCTCCAGCCGCCGCTGCAGCAGCCCGTACTCCTGCAGCAGGGTGCCCAGCACGGCCCACTTGCTCTCCATGTGGTTGCCGAACTCCACGGCCGTCTTCTCGCAGTCGGCCAGCTTCTTCTCCGCGGTCCCCGTGCGTCCCTCCAGGTTCAGCAGCTGACTGGCTTGGGCGTCCACCTTCCTCTCCACAGCCTGAATGGCAGCCACCACGGTCCAGAGTGAGATCTCCGCCGTGGGCAACTGGGGCTCCCGCATCATGCGGTCAGGGAAGACAGGCGCCCTATCTGGGAAGGGTGGGAACTGAAAAGGCATTGGTCGCCGGGCATCCATGTCCCATTCTTGAGCCTGTGTGCAGAGGGAAAAAGCGACAGCCCAGTATGAGAATATGCGCGAGAGGGGAAAGTGGCTTGAGAACAGGGGACAATTAATCAAATGCCACCGATTGTCTTTCTTCTGCCAAGCCCTACCTCCAGCCATGGTATTCATTAATGCTCCCAGCGAAAGTGAGAGCAGCCATCTAGCCCTCCCACAAACCGTAGCCCACCTCTTGCCTGTGGGGCGTCAGACTGGCCACCAATTCACCTACTTTGACTTCTGGAAGTCAAGGCTGTGGGCCCTTGTCTAAAATGTTCAGACTCTCTCTGAACAGAGCAGCTGTTTTCTTCATGGGCTAGATTTAATTGTAAATTTCATATTTGCCCCGTGTTTTTTGTTTCAGGGTAAGAATTTTCATGTAAACTTTCTGATGCTAATCTTCCCAGCAATCTCTCAGCAGGTTAGGACAAGAATGATCATCTGGGGCTGGGGATGTGGCTCAAGCGGTATCGCGCTCGCCTGGCATGCGTGCGGCCCGGGTTCGATTCTCAGCACCACATACCAACAAAGATGTTGTGTCCGCCGAGAACTAAAAAATAAATATTAAAATTCTCTCTCTCTCTCTCTCTCTCTCTCTCTCACTCTCACTCTCTCTTTAAAAAAAAAAGAATGATTATCTCTACTTTAAAGATGATGAAATTGAGGCATGGAGAAGCAGCTGGACATTCCATAGTACCACCCTGCACTGCCAACAGACACACCTGTGGGTGCTACAGGTAATGCCAACCTTTCAGGTATGTGCTGCTGCCACCATTCCTATTAGGGCTGCAGACCAGGGAGATACCAGATGCCCAAGCTAGAGAACAGGCAATCAGGAGTGGGGGGGTTGTTGTTTCCCTTTTCCTTAAATACGTTGCAAAATGAAAATAGATTAACTAAAAAAAATGTCATTCATTCAAAATTCTTCATTCAAGAGGAGGGGACATCCCTCACCCTCCACAAGGGCTAAGAGTAAAAGCTCTGGGACCCCTCCCTGCTTCCTGAGAAGGAGGTTCCCCATGGCCTGAGACCTCCTCCATTATCTTTCTGCACAGAATCCTCACCCCAAGAGTAAGGCCAGTGGGTGCAGGTTGGGGGCTAAGCGCTATGTCTAGAAAGGAGAGTGGAGGGTGGCCACAGTTCTTTGGGGATCTGAGAACCAGTGACATACTGTTCTAGTATTCAGGGCTCCACAGGCTGAGAACCAATTSTTTCTGCTTGGGTCAAGAGGAGGTTTCACTTTTTGTTCTCCCTGTTGCTGTGAAGAGGCCCTCCTGCTGGGAAAGTGGAGGGATTTGGCTTTGAGGTGGACTGGACAGGCCAGTGACAAGCATGCCTGCTACTCTCCCAAACTCAGAAGCTGTTCCCACAGTGTCCTGAGACTCTCTCCCTCTGGGAGAGAGGAGAGCAGGCTCTGGGGCTGCAGTCCGGGCTGGGTAGGGCCCGTTGCCTCTTCATCAAAGCCACCCACAGGGCTCAGGGAGGCTGCACTCCGACCTAGCCAGAGAAGAGGGCAAGGGCTGCCAGTGGAAGTTTGAAGACCTGAAGCTGAGAATCGATCAAAGAATACACAGCAGCTCCGGGCCGGCTCCTCCGGTGGGAGCAGAGGGGCCTCTGCGGAGGCCATTCGAGGGTGGCCGCAGAACCTCTGGAGAGGTGCTCAGGCCTGAGAGCCTCTTCCCTGGGTTCTATGTCAGCCTGGGGCGCTGGTTCTCAACGCCGCACCTGAGACCGCGTTGGAGCCTAAAGAAAGACCGGCGCCTCCTCCACCCCCAGGGGCTGGAGCTGACCGTTCAGGGACGCGGCTTGGGCGGCGTCAGTTGTCTTCGGAGCTGCTCACAGGACTCCAATATGCGGCCAAGTTCGCCGACCCAAGACGACCAAGTCACCTCCCCACAGTCCCTTCCCAGGATCGCACCGGTGCCGAGGAAAAGTGGGTGGCTCATTATACTTGGGAGAGATGGCGCTGAAACATTTTGCGATCCTGTCGTCCACCTGGCTGCGGTGTAACCTGGACGAGGCGATCGCCCTGCGGCGGAGCAGGAGGCCTGCCGCGAGCCTCAGTCGGCCCGCGAAGGGCGGCGGGCGCCGTCCGGGGCAGGGCCGGGCGCGCACGGGCGGGACAGCGGCTCGCGGCCCCGCAGCACGGCCTGCCGCCCGGGGCCTGCGCCGGGGCCGCGGCGGGCCCGCTGCGCCTCCCGCCGCCGGGGGCCGCGTCCGGCGCTGCACGACGGGCCCGCGAGGCTGGAGGCCCGGCCCGCCCCGCCCCCACGGCAGGCGCGGCCATGGCGCCCGGGGCTCACCCACCTGCATGGGCGGCATTCCCTCGGCCATTTCCCCGCGCAGCGCCGGCTCCTGGTGGCAGACCTCCTCCGGGGGCAGAGCCTGGGCCCAGCTCCAGCTCCCGCTGTCCAGCCCCAGGCCCTGGATGCCCAGCTGCTGAGGCTGCGGCCGTGTTGACACAAACTGCATCCTGGGAGTGCTGTTCCCCGCTCGGGCCGGCCAGGGAGAAGAAGAACGTTTTCCAGGCGCCTTCCCCCTCGCCGGGGCCGGACAGCTCCATCTACAGCCCGTAGGAGCAAACAGTCCCCTTCGGCGGCGCTCCCCGCCCTCCGCAGCCGGCGCGCCAGCCAATGGCTTCGGAGCTCCTGCCCGCCCGCGGGGGCTGGCCGCGGCTACTCTGGGCTGGAGCCACCGCCGCCCGCAGAGCGATGTGGCGGCTCCGCCCGAGGTCAGGGGTCCGCGCGACGGCCTGCCTTCCTTCAAGTCCCAAGCAAGGCAGGGCCCTGGACTGCGGGCCTGTTTTCTGCTAATTCTACAAATATTTTGGGCATCCCAGGAGAAAATGGTGCCTTCTGAAATTTTTACTGAAACGTTTACTGAACACCTACTATGCTCCAGGTACTCTTAGGCAGAGGGTGCAGCTTCACTGTTGTAGACACCTGAGTTTAAATTCCAAATCGCCACTTGCTAGCTGTGACTTTGAGCAATTTAACTTCTCCGAGCCTCACGTTTTCCTCCCATATATATTTTTTCTTTTTTTTTTTAATTTACTTTATATTTTCTCTTTTCCCCCCTCCCATATAAATGAAGAAAATAATGCCAACCTTGGTCTGTTTTAATGCTGTGAAATTAAATGAGATGAGACTTCTGCCTGGCATATAGTGGGCACTCAGGGAAGACAGTTACCCCTCACCCAAGGAGAAGTCCTTGTAATTATCAGCAATATAGTGTCTACCTGGTCTCCCTAAAGGACGAGTGCTTATCTTAAGAACAGAGATCTCCAAGTCTTATCACCCCCTGAGAGACAGACCTACTGGTGCCTGAGTTCCATTGCACTTAGTAAAATGAAGAACATTATGGGCCCAAGAGAGACACGTGTTTACAGTTCTATATTCAGAAGGGCCATTATCAAGTACATACTTTCTCTGTTAGGCATACTTCCAGGATAGAGAAAGGAGTATTTCATGGAGTTAGTATTATCCTCAGGGAGATTAGGACTTATAAAGGTTATGCTCCCAGAACTCAGCGATTTCCCTTCTTTCCTGGCCTCAAGYTGCCTCCCTCTGTTGTAAATATAATGTCAATATTATTAGGGGAACCAGGCTAATTCATTTCTGCCAGCAAGCCACACCTCAGAGCACACATTCTGACCCACAGAGCATCAACTATCTCCCCTCTTTCCTAGAGATAGGAAATGGAGGACTAGGTGAGTCCCAAGCATGCAAGTATCTTTTTAGGATAAAATTGTTAAGATTACTTCCCTTCCTTTTAAATAAGTTATAGCTACAACTCTTTTTATACAAAAGATGGTGCATTTATACACTTTCTCCTTTGCAGAGGTTGGATTTTCACCTGGCCATCCACATCTTCACCACTTGTGACCAGAGTGGCTGCTCAGAGCTAGAGATACAGTTCACTGTTGTATATGAACAAAGCTACACAACTTCAACAGAATTAAGTGCACAGGCTTCAGTTGGTGGCATTATTTTATAACCACTGAGCCTAGAAACAACAGACCATAAAAACCCATAATGGATACAAGCAGAAGGGTAGACATTTGGGGTGTTTAAGGAGTACTTCCCTAAAGGAAAAAACAAAGGTCACAAGGAGGGAGCTACTAAAGCTACACAGGTCATGGACCTACTATTGGTACTGCAGTGACAAAGGGCTAATGGGGCTGAGACATCTGATGGTGGAAACCCATCCTGCCCTTGGAGATGTCCTTGAGTTTTCCTTGAGGAAAATGTCAAGTATCATGGTTACAACAGATTTCTTGGAAGGCCCCAGGCCTGGCCCCTTGACCTGTCAGGTCGGCCTTGATGCCTTCCTTCTCTCCACCTGGAAATTCTATAGCTACTGCAATGGATAGGGCATTTGAAGTAGTAGATGCTCAACTAATGGATGCCAGAGAGGCCAAAAGAGAGGGGATTTGTAAAACTGGAACATTTATTTATCTACCATTTTCTAAAGATTTCTGGTGCTGTGTTCTTTCAACAACTCCCGAGATTTATTTGAGGGAAACTTCTGGACTCACTCTTGGCTAAGGGAAGAAGATAACCAGATCTGTGCTTTTGACTTAGTTTCACCCACCTCTCATTTAACAAGCAGGTCAAGAACTACCAAGGTGGCCCATGGGAAAGGAAGATGAGGACAGCCTCAGAGCCTCGGGCTCCCTTCCCACTGGCATGTCCCTGTTCACAGGTTCCCATCTTCACTTTCACTTCACACTGTGCCTATGGGCTTGAGTGTAGTTCAGTGGTAGAGCACTTGCCTGGACATGTAAGGCACCCTACGTAGTGCAYAAAAATAAATATAATAAAGGTATGTGTCCAACTGCAACTAAAAAACAAGATCTAAAAAAATAAAAGACAGGGCTGGGGTTGTGGCTCAGAGGCAGGGCACTCACCTAGCATGCGTGAGGCACTGGGTTCCATCCTCAGCACCATATGAAAATAACAAAGATATTACGTTCACCTGTAACTAGAAAATAAATATTAAAAAATAAAAATGAATAAATAAAGACACTGTGCCTAGTTAGACCCACCTCCGTGGGAGGTCAATGCTTTAGGCTACAATGTCATTGACCTCCTCACCTCTAGAGGCAGAGCATTCTGAGGGGACGGGTGCTCAGAGTAAAGTGACAGAGCTCCAAGACCACTGTACTGAAAGGAGGGTTGATGTGGGGCCACAGCCAAATGTTTTGAGTAACTTTACAAAAGTTTTAAGGGCAATTTGCTCTTGCCAAAGCGTTTTCAGCATCCTTTTTACAGACCCACCTTTTGCCAACATTTTAACTCAAACACCCATCTCTCTTCCAAAAATGTTTGCTTTAAGCCTATGCAAAGTTTGGGGATATACTTTTTCCCTTCTTGAGTTTATTCTTAGGCTGCTTCACTTAAGCATTTCATCTCCTTTCCAAGTTTGACCCTATGGACAATTGACCTTCATTGGCTTCTCTTAGTTTTGTTTTGGTAGTGGGCACTGAACCGAGGGGCACCAGCTTATCACCAAGCTACATCTCCAGCCCTTTTAATTTTGAGACAAGTTCCCACTCAGTTGCTGAGGTGGGCCTTGAGTTTTTGATTGTCCTGGCCCAGCCTCCAGAGTCACTGGGATTACATGCTTCTCTTTGGTTCTTAATGACTTTGTGATACTACAGAAGTAATGTCCAATCATTGAAACTGTTCTATCTCAGTGAGCACCCAAGGCTTAGGAATCCTTTATGCAGAAGATATGCTATATGTAATCGCAGTGTGTCCTTTCAAAGGCAACCCTCCAACTTTTAAGTGCTTGTTTAATTACTAAAATGGTCAAGATTCATCCAAAATAGAGTCTAGTGCTCATGACAAAATGTACCAGTGTTTCCAAATGCAAAAGTAAGGTATGATTGTTAATTCAAGTTGGTAATAATGTCACCAAAGTCTCTTGTTTTTCTGCAAACTCCTCTTACAAGAAGGTGCAGGCCTCAGGAGGTTAGGAAAGTCTGCAGCACGGGTGCTGGCATCCCTCTCATCTGTGCACATCCTGCCCAGTCCTGCCAGCGTGTGGTCTTTGGACATGGCACACAGAAGGTGCACCAGAAATGAATACTGCTTTCCCCACTGCCTCTAGCTTGCCTAACTACGGAGAGAAGTCAGAACTTTTAAAAATACTATTTCCATAAGTCCTGCCCCCACTGTCGAGTTACAGCTTCCCACTGAGGATTCCAAGACCTTTATTCATCTCTGATCCATAGCTCACTGCTCTAGTAAGGCTCACTGACCAATGCCTGGCTTTCTCTTCCTAGGATCTTTTCCATCTCACAGGCACATTAGAATCACTTAGGGGAACTCAGAAACACACAGGCTCCATCACAGACAATGAAGCCATGCCAGGGTAGGCCCTGACACAAATGTCTTCTTTTGAACCCTGAGTCATTCTCAGGTGCAGTCAGGAACTAACTAGTGCAACAGCACTAGTCCTTGTCTTGGCCCAAAAGATCATCTGGGGAAATGAAAATCCCAAATTATTACTTAATATCTAATTACATAAATATGATTTGTTTAATTATTCTTATTCATAGTTTTTATCTTGTTGTTTACTCACTAAGGTTGGTTAGCAGTTATTGTCTTTATAACACYATTTTAAAAAATTATAAACTCAAGGCCAAGAACCGATTTACCTACGTAGTATCATTTGCATCCATAATTTCAAATTGTTTAACCCTTTTTTTATAATTAGGATTGTACTCTTTATTCTGTAATAAATGCAAGTGTTTATTCTGCTGTGTTAAAAACAATCACTAATAGAATCTGGAGTAAAAACAGAAAAGAGAACCCAGAAGTAAAAATCTTAAGTTATATTATTTTAGATTCAGAAGGGACCATATTTTACCATCTTCTTCAATCTTCACATTAGAACTGGGAAAACAAAGATCTTCATAAATTAGTTTGCCCCACATCAAGTACAGAATGTTATGCTGGGACAAAAATCCAGTTTTTAACCACTCTTGTGGTCTTCCCACAATAAAATTACTGAGTATCCTGATGCCCAACACCATGAGGGAAACAAAATGAGACATAGTCTGTGTTTGGGGTAGTTTTGTTTTGCTTTATAGTACTGGAGATGGMACCAGGCCTCACACATGCTAAGCAAGTGTTCTACCTTAGCCCTTGGGTAGCTTAATTTTTGGGCCAGTCTCAAGATTTTAAAGCAAATAATGGCTTTACTAATAAAGACAAAGCCACATAGTTCAGCAAGGTTTTATCGGACATTTTATTTGAAATGAAACCTGGCTATCTTGGGGAGATTTGCTGCACGATGCTTTTATGGCTTCTCTGGTTTGGCTGCATCATTTTGCTTTGACGGGTAGTTAGTCTTAGAGGTGATATTTTTGGAAGAGGTGATTTATTTGACCAAGCTGACTAGAGTCATTTGTGTGATTGTGGCCAGTTATTCATTTAAAAAGAAACTGGAGCAGGGCCAGAAAGGGATGAGTAACACCCTCCCTTGACTCCTAATGACATTTATTTTACAAGACAAGCAGCACCTTCCAGTTCCTTTATGCAAGTGACAATATGCTCTGGCCTAAGGATAGATTCTCTAGTACTAGAAATGCCATACAGTCACTGCCCATTCCCAAGTGAATCCACCAGCCCACAGGTCTTGGTGCAGGAGCTGTAGGATTTCCACTACTGACTCAGCCAACTGAACCAGGATAAGCTCGTAACCACAAGGGTTGGCTGGAAACTTCTGGGTCCTCACATAAGAGGAGGAGCTGGACAGACTCCTTATTAAAGAATCTAGGAAATATCAAAGAGAATCAGCCTCATGAGGTCATGGCACACAGAAACTTATTAGAGCTGGGAGATACAGGAAAAAATAGGCCAGCCTAAATAGAAGCAAAAGATGATCTTAGGCAAAAGGCTGAACTCCCAGCCACCCTGTGCCCTGCAGGGCAGCTCAGTTTTTGACACTTGCACCTCCAATTCAACCTGGCTCTGTGACCTCCTTGTGTCACAGGCTCTGTGCTAAATACTTCACATGGGTTTCCATGCATACCCTAACACCTCTGAGAATAGGTCTCAAATCCCTACTTTACTGATAGTGAAACTAAGGTTCAAGATGGTTAAATAACAGACCTATTACTTAGCAGGACCTGAATCTAGATCTGACCAGAGTTCTTGCCTTTGGCACTGCTCTAACCCACACTGTGCAACCTTACATCAAGGCCCTCTGCTCTCCTGGTCCCACCCCATCATCACACCAACCTGACGTAACTCAAGTATCTTTTGCCTGTAGGACCCTGAAACTTACCAAAACACACAACAGCCTCTCACAGACATGTGAGAAATTCTCCTTTGCTACAGATAGGGAACCAGAATTAATGCAACAGGGCCAGAAGTGTCCCTCAAAACCACAGGGAAAAAACCTATCTGCTAACATCAGAGGTCTTGTCTATAACAACCTTTTGAGAAGACTAGCTACTTACAACCCTCAGACAGCTGCTGAAGGGGCATTTTGATGTTGCAGAAGCCAAGACCTGGGGGGGGGGTCCTACCCTTGCCTCAGAGGAAATATGAGCAGAAATTTAGGACTTCCATCCTATTTGAAAGAAAAAAAGGGACTCAGACCCTTTATCAACAAGATTTTTTGGGGACTGTGCATGTTAATGCCTAGCAAGCCACAGGGTTTGGCTGAGAGAAGCTCAGCAGGGATCCCCACCAGTGGTGGAATTGTGGTGGGGGAATTGTGTAGAACATGCATCTAGCCAGAGTCCACCTAAGGTGTCTTCAGTACCAGGTGTCCAGCAGAAGAGGCTCAGAGTCACCTTTCACTTTCTAGACAATCAACCAACTTCCATTTATTCTCACATTTGAGGCTGCACTACGGGCACATCCAATGGTAACCATGGAAAYGTAGTAAGCAGAGTGATTGGTTAGTCAACATCTGGATCCACTCCAGAGGAGAGGGTGCTTCTGTGYCAGTTAGAAGGACAGGCGAGGAGCACAGTTCTGGGGTTTCCTCTTCCCTATTGTGTCCCCAGGCCTCAGGTGCTTCTCTCAGCATGGTTTCTCTCAGGAACACTTGATGGAACATGAATTTCTCCTCCACATGCTGAAAACTTCATTGAACTCTATCTCATCTTTCCCACTGATCCATTTCTGAATCATTAGCAGAAAAACCCTTTAGAGGGGGCCTGGAGTTCTACCTGATGGGGCCTGATGAAGGGAACAGAACCGAACCCACAATAGTTGAACTCCCTGCCTTGTGTCAAGGCTGAGGATTAGGTTTCCACATGCTTGTCTTTCTGGGATGGCCTGCACATTCCCTTTCATAAAGCTTTATGACTCTTGCTCCAGTGGCATTTGGATTATGTTCACTTTTTGCCAAAATTAGGTCCCTGTTGGCTACAGTTCTTAGCAGAAAGGGCTGTGGTATCTATCTGCCGCATTTTAATGCACAGGTCTCTCTTGTTATTAGTTGTATTCTCAGTGAATCTTTTCAGTCAAATGAATTTTAGATGTTATCTGGTCCCACATCACATCTAATGTAGGAATCCCTCCTCCAGCATACTCTGGCAGATGCTTGAATCCATTCCAAAGAGAGCTCACCTCCTAAAGATGGTGCCTTGACTCTTTTCCCTTTTAACTGGGGGAATCAAGGTGCAAACCAGAACTGAATCTCACACTCAAGTTCTTAGTGCATCAACGAAGGTAGAACCCTGATTTGGGGATTCCCAGAACTCCTCCAAGTTTTCCTGGTGTGGGCCAGAGATTGTGGTTAGAAAGCTCTTGATCCCAACATACCAGGGTTCTGCCCATCATTCGTCTTGTTCTATTTCCTTGGATTTTTTTCATTGTCTATAGACTGAAAGACAAGACAGCAGCCCAGGTCTCACACACATTTCTTATGTCTCCCATAGTCCCTGGTATTGTGAATATCACAAAACAGTGTTTTATAAATGTGACTATCCTGAAGAGCAGCCTTTTCAGACAGAGACTTCCCAGGAGCACAGCCAGCTGGACTAACATCCTCTCCTAGCAGGGCTACACAGAACGAGGCAGAGTAAAAGTGGATTCAGTGATAAGGAGAAAACATGTCCCTTCCTTATCACTTATCAAGAAAGTGTCCTGTCAAAATATTCCCAGACCTTGTTCCAGGCATCAGAGAAGAATCAGAGGAAACAAGAGGGTATGGGAATAAACAACTTTTCTGCCCAAGACATAGGGCTTTTGCATTCTCTCTTCTACCTCAGGCTCTAAGCATGAGCAAAACAATAAATCAAATCAATTTCAGTCAAGTTTCTGCAAGAACCTTTGCTTTGATTTTGCTGTCATATTTAGCTTCATCTGGACAGAGGCCAAAGTCAGAAACAGGATTTGGGCAGGAGAAGGAATGTATCACAGTTTTTTTTTTTTTTTTTTTTTTATTTCTAGAGGCTAACTTTCCCACTTTTACCAGTCTCAATTTGCAGTTGAAATTTGAGAGCTATAAAGAAAAAAGGGCTTTTAACTAGTTGCAAAGACACTGAGGAGCAGAACTAGGTTCAGATCTGCCCAGGTAACAGTGACCCCAAGGAAAAAATCATGGTAGCTGAGTTACCTAAAAGCGTAACAGGCAAGACAGGTCATCCTTGTCTGCATGTGGTGTTCAGCTCTAAGTGACCTAGGAGGTGCCAATGGAGTAGGGCAGGTGGGGGGGACCAGACAGCCTCCCTGCTGAATGGGAGAATGAGAATGCCACATAACAACACTGTGACTGACTAGAGGAAACAAAAGCTCAGCAGCACTTTCTGAAACTCCTTAATGTTTCAGGAAAGTGCTGTGATCTTTGCTGCTGATCATCATCAAGACAAGCAGATACCAGAAATGAAAAGCCAGCTTACTGGCTTGGAAAAGATAAGGGAGAATGTGACATAAAACACTCTAAAATTGTGTTTCAGGCACAGGTTTTAAGCAGTTCAAGCAGTTCTATGATTGTTACACCAGCTACTTCTTGGGATCTCTAGCTTTTAAAGCTGGGCTGAGAACTCTGCTTCCAATTTTCTAACCAGGACCTTGGCAAAGATTTCTGACAGTTTAAATACCAATGCAACAGCTTGAATGCTTCCAACCAAGCCAGCAAAAGTTAAGAACTGTTCTCCTAAATAAGCTATTTAAGTCGGGTTTTTGTTCGCAGGTATTGACAGAATGTATTAAAAGACAAGGTGGGAAAGCTAGGGAGGCAGTCTCAGTCCTCCTGTTTCAGGGACAGGCGGCTGCGCAGCTGTGTGAACAGAGCCCGGCTGGTGTCCAGGAGGCAGCAATATAAACAGTGGCTAAAGCCCATTCTTCCAAAGTTACCTCACCTAGAGGAATTAATGAAAGGCCTGGCACATTCTCATGCCTGATGACCTGCTTCATGCTTGGGGGCTCTTTCCATGCACTTATCTCTACCTAGACGCAGTCCGTTCTCATTTTGCTTTCCTGGAACAGRATAACCTGAGGTTGACTCTTGCTTCCCATTCCCAACCTCTCTGTAATATTTTTGACTTCTGTTTTTGTGGTACCTTTGAAAAGAAGGGGCTGTGGGGCTCCTTTCCAGGTCTTTCTGTATTTTAAAATGTGGTATTGTACTTTTGTAAAGTTCCAAAACATAAGCATGTCTCCAGTGGAGTATAGAGGACACCAAATCTCTTATGCGTCAGATAGTAATTACTGCGAGTGGTGGAGGGCTTGGGAGCTTCACATAGACTTTCTGTCCTGTCGTGAGCGTAGCTAAACCAGATTTACAACCCACCCCCTCCACTCCCTTCCCCATACCACTGATTGGTCTCTAGACCTTCCGTGCTAACACCCAGGCCAGAGGTTTCCAGGCCAGCTAGGAGTGGACCCGGTGGGTCGGGGGGCCGTGTGGCAGGGTCGCTTTCGCCCACACAGCCTCCATTGTGGCCCGAACGCAGGTGGTCCTTGAGCGTCTGCTTGTAGCGGAAGCTCCTGCCACAGAGGGCACAGGGGTAGGGCCTCTCGCCGGTGTGGATGCGCTGGTGCTTCATGAGGTGATGCTTGCGGATGAAGCTCTTGCCGCAGTGCGCACACTGGAAGGGCCGCTCACCCGTGTGCAGCCGCCGGTGGTTGAGCAGATGCTCCTTGCGCATGAAGCTCTTGCTGCAGTCAGTGCAGGGGTATGGCCGCTCGCCCGTGTGGATCATCTGGTGGCGGATCAGGGCCGAGTGGCCATTGAAGTCGATGCCACACTGAGGGCAGGAGAATGGGCGCTCCTGTGCGTGCCCACGCTGATGCAGCAGGAGGCTGATCTTCAGGCTGAAGCTCCTGCCACACTGCGTGCAGCGGAAGGGCCTCTCACTGGCGTGAGCCCGCCTATGACTCGTGAGTCGCGCCTGGTCAGCAAAGCGCTTGGGGCAATCCGGACAGGGGAAAGGGCGCTCAGTGCTGTTATGGACCCGAAGGTGGTAGGTGAGTCTTGAGGGGTGAGTGAAAGTCCGGGCGCAATGTGGGCAGGTTGGGGGTGGCTCACTGGCATGGTCCTGGGAGGTGCTGCCAAGGTCAGTCTGCGGGGCAAAGTGCTTGGGGCACTGGGCACAGGGTAAGGGATGCTCGCTAGTGTGGCCACATTGGTGAGTCAGCAACATGTCCTGGTTTAGACTCTTGCCACAGTGATGGCACGAGAACAGCTGCTCCCCAACTGGAGGTGGGAGAGGGTAGGTACCCAATTGAGTAAAAGTCACTTGTCCCTCTGAGGCTTCAGGCAAGTCAGTGGCTGCACGTCCAAAAGGTGTCATGGGAGTGGACTGCTGGTGTTTGAAAGCCACATCTGAAAAAGCATCCTTTGCTGCTGGTGGTGCTGGAGCAGAGAACGCAACAGGAACTTCAGGGCACAAGGAGGCTCTAGCAAGGCCCTCAGCTTTGATGACGAGCTCTTCATCTGAAAGAAAGGACTCAAGAGTTACGCCCCTCTGGAGCTGTCTCACCCGCAACCCTCACAAGTTCCTACCCAGCTCCAACAGGTTTGCTCTCAGCTCTGAGCTGCTAAGATAAACAACACAGCAGAGGGCTGCTGTGATATTAATCAAGGTGTAGCAGTCCCTGTGGCAAATCAGAATTAAGGCTATACTCTTTGATGCTCCCTGTTGAAAAAGGAATACTCTTGGCATCAGTCTTCTCCACATTACTGTATGTTTCACCTCTGCTCAAGAACTTTATTGCCTGTTGGGACAAAACCTAAAATCACCTATTTATCTATTCTTATTCTTCTCTGTTCCACTTTCCTTGAAAATAGGGTAAGCATTTTACTTCTGCATCTGTTCTCCCTTCTGTAGAGTACCTCCCTCCTTTCCCCATCTTACCAAATTATATCCAGCCATCTCAAACCAATCACCCTTCTAGGCCCACTTCTGGCTTCATGTCCTTCTTTATACCTTATTTAAATATCAGAAATATTCTTATTTCTGTTATGCTTATATAGCCCTTGCCACATAACAACATATGTGTTCCCAGGGTCAGTTTCTTGAAGGACAGAAACTGTCTTATTTTTCATTTGTACTTTACTGAATCTAAAGGAATACAGGGCTTGGAAGATATTTTTAAAAGAGTGCAYTTAGTTATATAAACAGTTGGATCACTTCTGACCTTGAGATTCTCTTTCATAATTCCACTGGCAAAATACAGATGGTGCTAAATATCTTAAAAGGAAGCCATTTCTATTTCTTCTCCCATCATCGCTTTTCCTTTCATTGAATGAGGTGATTAACATTCCCACTTGCATCTCAACAACATTTCTGTCTCTATCACCTGTCTCCCCACCCCACTCCCTATTTTTGTTTTATACTTTTTACATGATTTTCTTCAAATGTTTTTTGTCTTTTCCCATCTTCATGGTCCATCTGAATGCACTTGTTTTTCTTCCTTTGATAATTCCAATTTGTTTTTTATTGTAGTGTTTGGGATTAAGCCCAAGGACATGTGCATGCTAAGAACATATTTTACCACTGAGCTCCACCCCCAGCTCTAACCATTCCAATTTGTCTTTCACTTGAGTGTGTTTTCTCACTTGCAATTCATCGAAGTGCCTTTTATGGCTTAATTCGACCAGGTCTTTTTTTCTCCAACTACTTTGCCTTTAAAACCCCATTCCCGCTGCAACTTCTCTGGTCACTCCTAGCATAAACTGGATTTGGACAGGAGCATCTGTCTAGGCTGTTACTCACCTGCATGGGTGCCTTTGTAGATATCACTCTCCTTGGACTCCTGTGGGGCCCCAACCTGAGGCTCTTCCTCTTGTTTAATCCAAGACAGAATATCTGATGTTGAAAGACCAGGCTCTATTTGTGAGGGAAAAGAGAATGAACTTCAGGGACTTGAATCAGAAGACAAAATTAATCACATTGGTTTGTAGAACACTGCATTTTGCCTAAATTTTATTTCTAACTAACTGTAACAAGATAGGCAGCTTATAAGAAAATGCATAAAACTCTAGAGAATTATTTCAAAATGAATTCAAATTGATGTATTTTTATATAATATTCTCTGCTTGATTTTCTTGTTTTCAGTGAGCCTATTAAAAAACAAATTACAATCTTTATTTTGGAGACGATATTCTGAAATAATCTAGAAAAAACAGTACTTTTAATTTCAGTAGCATTCTTTAATATTTATTTTTAGTTTTAGTTGGATTCAATCTTTTTATTTATTTATTTTTATGTGGTGCTAAGGATTGAACCCAGGGCCTCACAAGTACTCTACCACTGAACCACAACCCTAGCCCAGTAGCATTCTTATTTATCTATCTATTTAGTTATTTATTTTACTTGTAGATGGACACAATACCTTTATTTTATTTATTTATTTTTATGTGGTGCTAAGGATTGAACCCAGGGCCTCACAAGTACTCTACCACTGAACCACAACCCTAGCCCAGTAGCATTCTTATTTATCTATCTATTTAGTTATTTATTTTACTTGTAGATGGACACAATACCTTTATTTTATTTATTTATTTTTATGTGATGCTGAGGATCAAACCTAGTACCTCACACACAGTAGGCAAGCACTCTACCACTGAATTGCAGCCCCAGCCCTGGTAACACTCTTATACTCAACATATTTTCACTTTTCTCTCACAGTTTGTGAAACAGCAGAGCAGGCAATATTTTCTCCTTTTAAGTAGAAGGGCCTATAGATTAACTAAATTCCCAGTAAGGAAGTATTTACAGTGAGGTGCCATATTATCAAAGATTTGCACACAAAAAGAAAATAAGCAAAGAATGAGGCTGACCAAAATGGCTTTTTAAACGTTAATTAAAAGAGAAATATACTTCCAGAATTACAAAATCAAATTGGTTTAAACACAGAATTTGACTCCTCAAAAATATACTTTCAAAAAAAAWATATATATATATACTTTCAGATTTCCAATTCTGGACTTTTCCTCAGAGATCATATTATCTTTGCTTATTAAATGATACAGACCATTGGGTCCTGAGCCCTGGTCCTTCAGGTCTTGGGATTCTTTTAGAATGAAAACAGCATTGCCTCTGAAGTGCAGATGCTTGCTATTCCAACCTGGATCTGGGTGGCCTTTTTTGGCCTAAAAGGACAAGCTGGCAAGCTGGCAAGACCCAGAGAGTAAACTCAAGCTCTCTACAGTTATTTCTCAAAAAAGCCTTGTAGGCAGGGTATGGTTTTATTTCTAGCAAATGAACAGCACTCATTCTTTTGCCCAGGGCTTTTAAGTCAGCTGGAGATGGCTGGAATCTAATATGTGCCGAGATCAAAAAGAAGCAGTGGGTATAGCCAGGGCCAAACACTGTCCATTATGTGGAAAGCCGGGAGTGCAGGTTTGCACACAGGCGGCAGGCTGCCTTCCCACTTACTACGTGGGCTGCAGGCATGGCTGTATGTCTCACACAGTGCAGCTTTATCTTTGTTCCCACCCAGACCTTATACAAACACATAGACGTAAAGAAAAAGGGGCARTGGGTGTGAGGAAGAGGAGCTCCTAAGAAACACTTCAGCCATCAAAAACATGGCTTCATTAAGGCTTACCTGTTTCTCTTTCACAATTTTCTCAAATAATGAGTTAGTGCTCTAGAAACCTCCAAATGCCATTCAAGCGGATTTGACTTTATATTATTGTTGATCATTACAAATTAATAGAATGTTATATATTTGATTAGCATCAATCTACTGTAGTCATTATTCTTTTTAAGACTTAAATTTTCTCTTCTTTGGCCAATGGAATAGGCCTGATGTGCTTCTCACATGACCGCAGATGCTTGATTTCCCTCATTTCTGGCATGACAAACTATAGCAGGCTCAGCTAGTAAGTACATTTCTTTTTCTTTTAAATATTTTTGTTCTTTTTTTWAAAAAATCTTTTATTTTTTAGTCATAGATGCACACAATATCTTTATTTTGTTTATTTTTATGTGGTGCTGAGAATAGAACCCAGTGCCTCACAAGCACTCTGCCACTGAGCCACAACCCCAGCCCTGGGGTTTTTGTTCTTTTTTACTTACATACAACAGTAGAATCTATTTTGACATATTGTACATTGAGTATAACTTCCCATTTTTGTGGTTGTACATGATGTGGTGTTACACTGGTCATGTATTCATATATGAACGTAGGAAAGTTATGTCTGATTCATTCTACTGTCTTTCCTATTCCCATCCTCCCTCCCTCCTTTCCCTTCATTCCCCTTTGTCTAATCTAATGAACTTCTACCCCGCTGCTCCCCACTGTGTATTAGCATCTGCACATCAGAGAGAACATTTGGCCTTTGATTTTGGGGATTGGCTTACTTAACTTAGCACAAGAACCTCCAGTTCCATCTATTTACCAGCAAATGCCACAATTTCATAGTTCTTTATGGCTAATAATATTCCATTGTGTATATATACCACATTTTCTTTATCCATTCATCTATTGATACCTAGCTTGGTTCCATTGTGAATTGAGCTGCTATAAACATTGATGTGTCTGTATCACTATAGTATGCCGATTTTAAGTCCTTTGGGTATAAGCCAAGGAGTGGAATAACTAGGTAAAATGGTGGTTCCATTCAGAGTTTTCTGAGAAATCTCCAGACTGCTTTCCAGAGTGGTTGCACCATTTTGCAGTTCCACCAGCAATTTATAAGTGTACCTTTTCCTCCATATCCTCACCAAGATTTATTGTTACTTATATTCTTGATAATTGCCATTCTGACTGGAGTGAGATGGAATCTCAGGGTATTAGAGAATTTGCATTCTCTAATTGCTAGTGATATTGAACATTTTTTCATATATTTTTTAACTATTCATATTTCTTCATCTGTGAAGTGCATGTTCAATTCCTTTGCTCATTTATTGATTGGGTTTTTGGGGTTGGTTTTTTTTTTGTGTGTGTGTGTGTGTATGTGTGTGTGTGTGTTGAGTTCTTTATATATCCTGGAGATTAATGCTCTGAGGTGCAGGTGGCAAAGATTTTCTCCTATTCTATAGGCATTCTCTTCACATTCTTGATTATTTCCTTTGCTGTGAAGAAACATTTTAGTTTGATACCATCCCATTTATTGATTCTTGATTTTACTTCTTGTGCTTTAGGACTCTTGTTAGAAGTCAGTTCTTAAGCTGACGTGATGAAGATTTAGGCCTATTTTTTTTTTTCTAGTGAGTTTTGTGCAGGGTGAAAGCAGGGGTCTAATTTCATTTTGTTACATACAGATTTATAGTTTCCCCAGCCTCATTTGTTGAAGAGGCTATCTTTTTTCCAACCTATGTTTATGGTACCTTTGTCTAGTATGAGATAACTATATTTATGTGGGTTTGTCTCTGTATCTTCTATTCTGTACCATTGGTTTTCATTTCTGTTTTGGTTCTAATACCATGCCATTTTTGTTACTATAGCTCCATAATATAATTTAAGATCTGGTATTGTGAAGCCTCCTGCTTCACTTTTCTTGCTGAGGACAGCTTTGACTATTCTGGGCCTCTTATTTCTCCACTTGAATTTCATGACTGTTTTTTATATTTCTATGAAGAATATTATCAGAATCTTAATAGGAGTTGCATCAAATCTATATAGCACTTTTGGTAGTGCTAAAATGGCCATTTTGACAATATTAATTCTGCCTATCTAAGAACATAGCAGATCTTACCACTTCTTCAATTTCTTTCGTTAGTGTGCTGTAGTTTTCATTGTAGAGGTCTTTCACCTCTTTTGTTAGATTTATTTCCAATTTTTTTGAGGCTGTTATGAATGGGATAATTTTCCTACTTTGTCTTTCAGCCAATTCATCACTGATGTATAGGAATGCAATTGATTTATGTGTATTGTTTGAGTTCTTTTCTTATTGTATCCCTTTAATTTCTTTCTTCTAATTTATGTGGGTTTCCAGGACTAGGTTGAATAGAAATAGTGAAAGAGGGCAGCCTGAGCTAGGGATATAGCTTAGTTGGTAGAGTACTTGCCTTGCATGCATAAGGCTCTGGGTTCAATCCCCAGCACCACCGAAAGAGTAAAAGAGTGCATTCTTGTTTTGTTCCAGTTTTTAGAGGGAATGCTTTCAAGTTTTCTCCATTTAAAATGATGTTGGCCTTGGGTTTAACATATATAGCTTATAAAATGTTGAGGTACATTTCGACTATCCCTAGTTTTCCTAGTATTTTGAACATGAATGGATGATGAATTTTGTCAAATGCTTTTTCTGTATCTATTGAGATAATCATATGATTCTTGTCTTTAAGTCTATTGACGTGATGAATTTTGTCTATTGATTTCCTTATGTTAAACCAACCTTGCATCCCTGTAGTAAATAAATACATTTCTTGTCCCAGGCTCAAAAATCAATGATCACTCTGAGAAATGGGACTTAAGATAAGGCTGCTAATTACAAATCAAGTGTTTTAGTCAGGTTTTTGATGCTATAATTAAAAGTTCTGACCAGAACAATTTTAGGGGAGGAAAAATTTATTTAGGGGCTCACAGTTTCAGAGATCTCAATCCATAGACAGCAGACTCCATTCCTCAGGGCTCACAGTGAGGCTGAACATCATGGTAGAAGAGTGTGGTAGAAGGAAACAGCTCACATGATTATTATGAAGCAGAGAGACCTCCACATGCCAAATACAAATATGTACCCCAAAGGTACACCCTACCCGCCTTCAGCCATCATACAATTAATCCCATCAGGTGATTGATTCACTAATTGGGTTAAGGCTTTCATAACCCATTCATTTCTTACCTGAACCTTCTTTTTTTTGGGGAGGTGGGGGGTTCCAGGGATTGAACTCAGGAACACTCAGCCATTGAGCCATATTCCAGCCCTATTTTGTATTTT